GTTGTGTTGGTTGCTTTGAAAAAAATTTTGTATATATGTACTGTTTTTAATAATATTATTATTTTGTTTACTAAATGGCATAAACAATTAACACTACACATGTACATACAAGACACAATACAAATTTTACTTTTATGTAAAAGTGAAATGCAAGCACTGCTACTAACCAGAGACAGACTGTTGAACATAGAGTTAAAAACTTACATACACACAGAAAAAGGAGGAAAGCACTTATATTACTAATTACCAAAAAGCTTAAGAAACCAAGGCAATGTGAAAAAAATTTAGTTTTCTGATTTTGCTGAGAACTGTGTTACTCCTAGTTAACTGTCCTAAAAGCTCAACAATCGTTTAAAAAATAAATATATTCCTTAAAAATTTATTTTAAAGAAACTATAAAACATATTTTGCAAAAAATATTTTCATAATAAAATATCTATAAAAAATAAATAATCAAATATATGTACGATTTATATTAGGTTAAACACTAAGCGAAATCAATGAAAATGCGTTTTCTCTGTCACACTTGAAAATATATTGAGACTCGTAGCCTCAGAGGCTCATGAACGCTTCAGCAAGCAGCTCTCGCAGTTTATTTTTGGCCAAACAAGTCCGTGAATGCTTCTTAATCGGATTCTGTAAGCAGAAGCTTTGAGTACTTGCAACATTGATATTTGCAACTTGCAAGGTAATTTGAGCTCAACAGCTTTAAAGCTCTTTTATAAAAAGTGATCCATTTCGAGTTTCTTATTTTTTCTTAAGGAAAAACACAGAATCTTCAAATTTAGTGGGAAATGCTTATTATTATTCGAAAGAAAATTCTTTGATATTGATTTTTGTTCCAAGGCCAGAAACAAAGCGAGATAGTCCGTACAGGTATGATATATAAGATCGTATATCTTGATGGGCAGTCGACCGACTTAAAACGAGAAATTATCTGCTCACCGAAAAGTTATCTCAAAAAACCCAGTGACTGACACAATGTGTGGGAAGTGGCGACGTATTGTGGAAACCAGATGTCACCGTGATCACGAGCTTCAATTTCAAGCTTCAAATAGTCGGTTATAATGGCGATATATTGGTCGCCATTGGACGTTACGTTCACGCCGGTATCATGTTTGAAAAAATATGGGCCAATGATTCAACCAGCCCACAAACCACACCAATCCGTTATTTTTTCTGGATGAAATAGCAGCTTTTAAATCTCTTCAGTTTGTTTGTTTACTTACTCATTAAGCCAGAAATACGGCTCATCGCTGAACAGAATCTAGCGCCGCTCGTCTTGGAACTTTTCAAGAGTTCACAGAAACGAGCGATGACACTTGGGAAGGTCGAAAAGCTTCAAGTTCGTGCACAAGCTGAATTTTGTAAGCTCTGAATTTAATAATTACTCGTTCCCGTTACATATTTAATGCTTGGAAATATTTAAAGTATCAGAAGTTTGAGATACTCTCGAAAGATATGGATGCAGAGAACTTTTGTTGTTAATTGTTAATGTACTTTTGCTTTGCCATGCTTTAGGATATATTTAAAAATTTTGGAAGAGATAAAAGGAGATAGCTACCATGCAGATCAGCGCTACAAATCGCACTCAAGCATAATTAGATAATATATTTTCTTCTTTTCTCTACAACAATTAAAAAATGTACAAGTAGCTTTACCTAAGCACATACCTCTTAAGCAAAATCAGCAACTAGACACAAAGCTGTCAAAAATACACTCTTTAAAGTCAATAACCATATATTTATTGAATAGAAATTACAACAAAATCAACAAACACTTAAAGAACTCATACAGATACATACATACGAACTAAAGCAGGACTCATTTACACTCATTCAAGCTTTTTCAATCCACTCTCCAATATTTTATTTTACTTTCTTCTACTTTAGTTGTAGTTTCAATTCCAACATGCAGTTGATAAGCTTTTCCTCTTTCAAAAAGAAAAAAAACATAAAGCGTCTTCTAAATACTTTATCTATCTACTATCTAAATGTAAATAGTGTTGTGAAGCAATAAACAAAAAAAAGAAACAAAGTTTTGCTTGATTTTTGTATATTTATGAATTTCTCTAAGCTTTTATTTCACTTTCTAAATAATTGAAACAATTTCTTCTGTGTATGTAAATACATAAATGTGCTGTATTTAAAAAAACGTTGTCAAATGTACGTTTCGGTTAATTATTTGTGTGCAAATTTTCAATTTCACTATTTCTACATTTTTTTTTTTTTTTTTTTTTTTTTTTTTTTTTTTTTTTTTTTTTTTTTTTTTTTTTTTTTGTGTTTTTCAAGTAACTCAAAGATCTATGCGCAAGCGCAGTTTTTCAATTATATAATCGAAGAGGATAGTACTATTGTCACGAATCAGAGAGTAGCTAATGAAGAACGCGTTTAGTTTTAAGCTAAAACATTTTCAAAAGTAGTAATGATTATCTTCAAATTATTTCCAGTTACTTTTTTGAGCTTCCTAAACTCGTTTTCTTTATTTAATTTGTTTGAAATTAAATTCTTTTATTTTCTGTATAAAACCTGGACTAAAAAATCGAAAAAAATACAATATATATAAAAACATTGTAGCGCCTCAAAAATCCCGTAGTTGTGTAAAAAAATTTCAAATGCGAATATTGGAATTTTGTATGAGTTTTTGAACCCCCGAAAATTCGCTACCCAAAATCTCCAAAGCGCCTTCAATTCAATGCAACATTTTCGTTAACTCAGCGTACTGACATTACAACAATGCAAGTGGGTTTCATTTCAACAAAAATTCAGCGCCTTATACGAGTAATAATACATATAACTACCTATACATACATATACATATATGTATTTAAGCAAAAAATTACAAAAGTAAAAGTAAGACTGACTTTTTTCTGCAAATGCAGATTTATAATTTAATTTTTTATTTTTTTTTTATTTTTAAATATTTTTTTTTTTATAAGAAATCTTCCATTTTATTTTGTTATGGTTTGTAACTTATTACAAAACATAATCACGCAGAAACAATAACAACAAAAGCAAACCGCAATGTTCAAACGTGAAATGTGACTTAAAGAATTTTTCATTACTACTTTTTGGTGTCGCCTTTAAATGGCCGCACGCTAGTAAATAATTTAATATAAAACCAAAACTAAGTAATTTACAAGAAATATATATATACAAATATACCATATACAAGAAATAGTTGCAGTTGTCAGTCAGCTGTTGCAAGCACGTGTTATTTTCCATAACCAATTAACTATGTACTACTGCAATTACTATTTAATGAGCTACAACAAATACAAATATTAATAACAATAGCAACTAGCAATAGCTGTAGGTGTCCTAGCGTTAAACGCTTACATGCATACAAACATTCACGAACGACTAAATAAATACAGCAGCATTTAATTGTAGTGATTTAGTGGAGAAAGCTGAATTTGAATTTTTAGTAGGACTATACATGCATATATCTACGTAGAGTTAGTGGTTTAGGGTTATTACTTTAACGTAGCCAATAACGGTATTGGAACCAACCGCACAGGTTTGTACAAGCACAAGCAGCTCAATCTAGGGATTTTCGGCAAAGAAATTAGTTCAAAAACGGTTAATTAGCCAGATTATTTGGAGCAATGATATAATTGTGAAATAAAGTGAAATCTTATACGTATTGTTCCGTATATATGTAGTATAATGAAACTTAATAC